CAGCTGGAGGAGACCCTGAGCGAGCGGCTGTGGGGCTTAACCGAGATGTTCCCGGAAGGCGTGCGCGCCGCGGCGGGAGCTACCTTCGATTTGTCTCTCTCTGTGGCGCAGAGAATGTACCGGTGAGCAGGCGGGGGCGTGGCTGGGTCTGGCTGACCCGGGTGGGCGGGTCGGCAGAGCCGCGTGGCCTTGTCTCAGGTCAGGGTTGGTTTGTTGTCCTTTGGGATGTCGTGCTCCTGAGATGTCGCCCGGTTTCGTTCTGTGTCCCCCCTACTCTGTTTGTTGGTGGGGGTGGGGTGAGCGTCAGTAGCCGCTGTAGATTGTGCTGAAGGTGTATGTAGTAACACTGCACATCCTGCTAAAATAGCTGTGGGCAATAACTGGCTCATGGGCCGGACACAGTTTACTAGTGTTAGCCCCCCGGTGGGCTGCCGGTGCTTTTTTTTAACCTGTGTCGCTGCAGGTACAGCTGCTTGAAGCTCCTGTTGGCTGCAGATTGCTGTTCCTAGTCAATGGGAGCTGCAGGAAGTGGTGTGGACAGAGACACTGCTGTTGTTACATATAAAAGGGAAGGTAAATCAAGCCTTTTTTATCATGATTATTTTTTCTTTAGATTCTCCAGGGCAGCTCTGTGGATTGGGACTACCTCTTTTATGATCCTGGTTCTTCCAGTTGTATTTGAAACTGAGAAACTGCAGATGGAGCAGCAGCAGCAGCTGCAGCAGCGACAGGTGAGGTTGAAGCCTCAAACTCTTTTCCCATTGCAGTCTATGCACATGGGCTGATACTTTGGTTGCCTTGCAACATAAAGATGAGCAGTTTTTGATAGTGATTTAGGGACATCATAACCTTACCTTGTTTTATCACAAGGACCCCCCTCACCCTATTCCCCCTTGTTTTTCTAATACCAGGGGTTTCAAACTCAATTAACAGAGAGAAGAGGGCATGATTCATGTGTAATTATGGTCTGTGGTAGCAATGTTAGATAGCATGTAATTGAATAGGCATGTAACCATCACATTTTAATGGTTACATGGATATTTGATGTTCCCCAGGGGCAGGGCTGGCAGCCAGTGCTCTCCCGGCCCCACTCCCAGGGAGCCCCCTGCTACTCCACCCCGCACTGCTGTCTCTGATACAGGGGCAGCAACATGGGGAGGCAAGCGGGAGCCAGCCCTCCTCATGGGTACTGGCTCCCATCCCCACTTCCCCTGATACAGAGGCAGCAAGGGGAGAGGGGTGTGTATTTGACAGGATTACTGATAAGCCCAGGTTTATCGGTTAATTGTGTAGTCATCTACACATTGACATCCCTAGTTTGTGGACCAGGCCATAAATTCAGGATGACATGTTGTCCTCAATCCACAGAAGAAATCCCACTGATCTCAGTGAGAGGTTTACACAGAGATTAAAGGGACAATACAGTCTTTATGTAGTAATTAAACGTCTTATTCATTCTTTTATTCCTACCAACTCTCTCCCCCCAGGACTGCACTCAGACCCACTGAGTCTACAGGTTGAACCTCCCTTGTCCAGCACCTTCAGGGACCAGAGTGGTCCTCAACAAGGGAATTTGCCTAATCATGGGAGATTAGGTGTCTGGGCTTTCTGGGGCTTCCCTCCTGGCAGCTTGCTCAGGAGAACTGAGTCCTTATCTCCTCTGGCTCACCTGCTTAGGTCTGCCTCCAGACCACTCACGAAGCTCTGCTTCCTACCCCCAACCCCTTGCGGGGGAAGAGCTACTCCTGGGGTTCCCTGGCCCCATCCACAGTAGCAGCTGCTCGGCAGCTACTTCCAGGGTGCTCTACCCGTAGGTCACTGCCCCTGCAAAACTGGCTCTGCTCCCAGCTGCTCTCAACCTCTGCAGCTGGGCTCTCTGGTCCAGCAACATCTGTGGTCCTTTGCCAGACCAGGAAGTCCTGCACAAGAGAGGTTCAACCTGTACTAGAATTATCAGTTAATGCAGATGTTGGCAGGCAAGGAGATCATCACTCTGACTCATTGTTCCAAGCTCTCTGCAGATTCAGGCAGCTAACAAGATATTGTTTATACTTAGGGGCTCCGTCTAGATTGGCATGATTTTCTGCAAATGCTTTTAAGGGAAAAGTTTTCCATTAAAAGCATTTTTGGAACAGTGTGTCTAGATTGGTACGGACGCTTTTCCACAAAAGCACTTTTTGCGGAAAAGTGTCTGTGGCCAATCTAGACCACTTTTTTTGCTTTTGCGCAAAAAAAGCCCCGATCGCCATTTTTGCGATCGGGGCTTTTTTGCGGAAAACAAATCTCAGCTGTCTACACTGGCCCTTTTGCGCAAAAGTTTGGCGCAAAGGGGACTTTTGCACTAATGGGAGCAGCATAGTATTTCCGCAAAAAGCACTGATTTCTTACAGTAGGAAGTCAGTGCTTTTGCGGAAATTCAAACGGCCAGTGTAGACAGCTGGCAAGTTTTTCCGGAAAAACTGGCCAGTCTAGACACAGCCAGGTTGTATGTAGAAGGTGCTCTTTGCCACAACGAGAGCTAAAAGCTGCTTTGGGCCAGAGTGAGGGGAGCACTTGCATCCATGGTGTCCAACCAGTTCTAAAGCAGTAGCCACTATAGTGGCTACTGCTGCTGTGAACTAGCCACACTCAGCTAATCAAATAGCCACAGGTGGCTAGCATGTTGGACACCACAAACTTAAATTCTGCACAGTTGCAGTATATCACATGGGCATCATAAATACATCATATGGGCCTGATAGTTTGTGGACCACATATTTGATACTGCTGACTTAATAGTACTGGGTTGACAAGTCTTATTTTCCATTTGCTATCAGAGTTAGTCTACAGCAGTTAGCTGCCATAGCAGAGGGGGAACAGTATTACATAGTAATGCACTCCCAGCCCCAAAGAATGAGAAAAGAGCATCTAACTGGACCAGAACAATGGCCTGTCTTGCCCAGTATTCAGTCTTCTGACAGCAGCCTATGGCAGATGCTTCAGAAGGAATAAACGGAAGGCAATTATCTAGTGATCCATCCCCCATTGTTTTATTACAGCATCAGGCAATCAAAGGCATAAGGACACCTAGTGTACAGTTGCATCCGTGCCATCCTAATAGCCACTGTAGGACCTATCCTCCTTGAACTTACCTAATTCTGTTTTTAACCCAGTGATAGAGATGTAGCCGTGTTAGTCTGGTCTAGCTGAAACAAAAGACAGGACTAACTCAGTTACTGTTGGCCTTCATGACGTTGACTGGCTATGTGTTGTGTGTAAAGAAGTATTTCCTTTTGTTTTAAATCTGCTGCCTATGAAGTGCATTGAGTGACCACTAGATCTTTATATTTATGAAGTAGTAAACAACACTTCCTTATTCATTTTCCGGAAATATGAAGGGAGGTGGGGTGAAGTGCTGTTTTGAATTTTTATTGTTATTTATTTTAATAGTTTTTTTTTAACCCAGTATCATCTCTTGCAGATTCTCTTAGGACCCACTACAGGGCTGTCTGGCAGTATGCCAGGGGCCTTGCCGCCACTTTCTGGAAAGATCTAACTTAGGAAAGTTGCTTCAGATCCATATCACAGGGGGAGACTTCAAAATTGATTCATTTGAACTGTTGATTTTTCAGGCTGGGTATTTTTTTTTAAACTTGGGACATTGACCTATCCATAAAGAGGCAAAATTCGTTCTCCTGGACCTTTTTTTGATGGGCTTCTCCAGATATCACAAGTTTTTCCTTTTATCCAATCAGTCCATACAGTGAGCAGTTACAAAGACTTTAACTTGAGGAGCTTCTGCTATGGGCCTCTTACTCCAGGGAAACCACCTCAGAGCACAAGTTAGGCTCTGGCCAGTTTGTTCAGTAAATTCTGCAAACAAAAGAAAATCCTTTGTTTTTCCTGCCTAAATCAAGGCCCGAAGAGACCAGTGATAGGAAGGAGTGAATTTGCCAACAGACAGAGCAGACCATAAAAGGTAGAAAATTTCATCTGAGCCCTGTGGGGAAAACTTATTTTCAGATATTTCCATGCTATTTCTTTTGGAGGAGGAGCACGTTTTGTTAAAGACAATTACGTCTGTGCCGATTTGGTTTGCATCATAAAATTACTACACTTTGGAAATCGGCTGCATACTTTTTTTTTGTATCAAGTATTAAATAAATTCAACCCAAACGTTGTGTGTTTAGTAGACACCCCCCTGTGGATTTACATCTTGAGGGCTCAATTTTCATACTCCCAGGTACTAAGGGAAGATTTACAGCTTTGTACACAGATGAGTGGTTATCCTCCAATTTTACGTACAGTGTTATCTGTGGTGGAGGGAAAGATTAGGTGGCTCCTTCCTAAAATATCTTAGATAATGAAGTAGTTTTGGATAACTTAGCAATGTCTCAGGAGTGAAGTCCTAGAGCTGCCCATAATCAACTAGGGGGTTCAATTGTAGAGTTTGATGAAGGGAGTTACTCCCAAAAAGGTCACAACATCATAACAAAGAACAGTTTATTTTTCCTTTACATACCATGTTACAGAACAATTCAGCTGCACACACAGAAGTGACTGGGACACTTTATATGGAGATTTTTCCATTTTTAATATTTGGTTAAACAAAATACATCTCTGTAAACAAATCCAAGACAAGGCTATAACAAAACCAAACAAGCAAGAAAAACTAACATGGGCTTTCCCACTCCCAAGCAGTGGGATTCATGTTTCCCCTCCTTGTCACCACAACACTATTCCCCAGGGATGTGATCATACAGTTTCCCTTTTCCTGAGCAGCTGGATCACACCCTTTCCCTGGGGGTTAAGCAGTGACATTAGATATAAATATAGGGAGGCAGCCCCACAATGTTTTTTAAAACATCTTTGCATATTGTGCACTGATCCATTGGCTAGCGGCTTCCATGCAAACAGGATCTCTCCAAAGTGCGATTTTAATCAGCATAGAAAATTCTTTTGCTGTTGATTTTTATTCTTCCTTCCCTTTTAGAAAATGGCTTCAAGTCATAAGCAGAATTCCTGCTTGTGATGAGTTTAAAAATTTTGCCAGCTGGTTTTGGTCATTGGAATGTGGTGTTAAGAAGGAAGTAGGGGTCTTGTAGAAACATTGGGCTTGGACTGTAGAACATGCAGAAGAGCCACTGCCAATGTGTCGTCAAGAGATTGCAAGCATGGTGCTTGTAAGATGTCCAGAGTTGACCACACGCACCACTCTTGTTCTGTTGCCACATGGCCTCTGTCTGTTGAAAACGGAAGGCTTTGGTGGTTTTGTAAGTTCAGCTTTAGACACTAGATTACCCATCAATGCACTGGTTTCCATCAATGCTCTGCACTTGCTGTTACAACTAGGAGGACAGCTTGTGCATTAGGAAATGACACAGTTGTAACATAGCTTGACCAGGAAGAGTCACTAGTAGTGTGAAATCTATTCCAAACTCACCCTTTCCTCTTTCTGCAGAAGGAATGATTAAACTACACTCAGCACCTGGTGGCATAGAAAAAAAAATATGAGTGAAAGATTCCTACTAGAGTCTCCCTGTCTTAGTCACTTTTCTCTGCAGGAGGGAACAGAGGGTGAGATGATTCAGCCGTCAGGAATGTTAGCCAAAACCAAAGACTTTGGTTCAGCTGCCATGCTAGACAGTTTGCTCTTACCATCAGGAAGACTCTCCTGAACCCTGTATGCATCTCCCACAATAATTGCTAGCAGTGACAGGAGATACAGAAACCTCCAATTGCAAAGCCTTTCTTTGATTTTGCTTTGCATGATTCGATCTCTCTATCATGGCCATAACTAGTGTTCCACAGAGGAGGGAAATAAGAGGGAACAACTGCTTCCATCTTCTTAAACACCTTCAGTTTTATATGCTTCTCTGCAATCAGCTCCTGGATTAATAAGTGCACATACAGGAACAAGAGGATATACACTTGCCAAAGAAAACCCTCTATAGGCCCCAAGGGGCCTCTTGCACTCCAGATACTTAGTGCTTCTGAACCAGTCTAAACCTGTTATCATTTCTATTCCCTAATCAGCCTGCCCTATCTAAAGAAGCATCTAGACCATCTGCTGAACTAAAATCCATAAAGACATCGAGAAGACTCCCCCATGTTTTTTTTTTTTGTTTTGTTTTAAAAGATAGCCCCTCTTTTTGTAGATAGGTTGTCCTTAATCCTTGGCACAAGCCCTCACCAAGCAGGAGATTCTACAGAGCACTATACCATTGCTAGTGTTCAAGAGTTTCCTGACAGTCCCCTATGATTTGCAAATGTATCTTAAATAGTTTGCTTTGGATGGAGAGATTGTTTTAGAGAGGCGGCAGCATGCTTGACACTTCCCAGGTAAAGTTTTAAATCAAGTCTGGAGGGAATAGTGTCCAACCATAAGCAATCTTTAAGATATTGGGGCATGAAGGAGAATCAGCAGAGTGTTCCAAACACCTCTTCCCAAAGCCTATTTTAAAGAGCACTATGCAAGGTAATCAAGTTAAAAGCACAGCACTCATTCTCTCATTAAAAAGTGACTGGCTTCCATCCTCATCCATTCTGTCCCCCCACAATACCCTATACCACTCCCGCTATTGCACCATCCATAAAGAAAGAAAAGAGACCAATGGAAGTTCCAGAGGAGGAGAGTCAGGACACCCATTATCCAGGTTAGAGGAGGGGGGGGGGGGAAATGACTGGAGCTGTAGTGAGAAAGGATGAGACAAGTCCTGGTCACATGTCAGCTCTCCAGCTCTGATGTGCTTCTACTTCCTCTGGTACCACCAGCAGAAGTTCACAGTTCTTTCCCCTCAGCTGATATTTCAAAAATTTCCTGTGGAAAGGAGAAGGGCAAAAGAGTGGTGAAATAATAACAAAATCCAAAATTTAGCAGTAGTAGCACTGCAAAGCCCTTTGAGTAAAGACTTTAGCAGGACTGAAACAAACTTATTTCTTTGGTGATAGAAATGTAGCCGTTTTAGTCTGGTGTAGCTGAAACAAAATACAGGACTACATAGTGTTACATAGTCCTGTATTTTATTTCTTTGGGTTTCAGAGATGAGCAGTCTTAATCAATTTCAAAGCACTGCCCCCACAAGATCAAGTGACTGGGAGGAAACAGAAGGATGCCATGGTAAACCTAGTGGCACAGAATGATTACTGACAGCTTATGAACTGGGACCTGATGCATTTTTTCAGCCTCTCTGACTGGGTGATTTCAAAGGTAGAAGGTGGCTTTAATAATATGAAAACAATTTTAAATTTCCCTAGTATATTTTGCCAAAAAAGTTCCCAAAATGTTAAACACATGAATCATTCATTTAATGCTGAAATGAAACAGCCTTGAGTCTGAAACCAACTACCAGTCCAAACCAGTAGTATTATGCAGGAATCATAAGAGTACAATTTTCTGAACTGGAATCAATTTGGGTCATCAAGCCTAATCAATACAGTTTTGGGGATATACGGGGAGAATGCCACAAGTCTTTAATGACCATGAATGGTAATGTTATCTTAAATACAACAGAGCTCACTAAGAACCACTGTTTTACACGAATGTGAAAGACATGGAAAAATTAGCACAAATGCCACCTGGATCTCAGAACAGGAAAATGGAAAGAGGCTTGCTAGTTAACTGTGGAAACTTAAGGAAAATAGTATATTTTTCAAATTAAAACCTCTCTGTTGGACACACAACAATAGAGCATCAGTGGAACCCTGTCAAGAATTTCCAATCTAAAGAAACATAATAGAACATGGTGGGTTAGTTCATTTCAGATGTCACCACAGATTAACCATGGGAAAAACTACACATCACAGTGACAAAGGCAGCTGCCTTAGGAAAAAAACCCCAGGCTTTCCTGAACCGTCAAATCTCCTGTTAGCTAAGATGCATCATTTCTGTGAAACTTGGAAAACAAATGGCACAGAAATGATACATATGGTATAAGATCCAGAAGGGGCATAATTTCATTTTCACTCCCATTCTTCAATTTTTGCTATTACAATTCGTACCACTGTAGAGTGGTACTAAAGCATGAACTGTATTGTAACCAGACACTAGATGTTAAAGGCAGATACTCAATCTGTAATGGGCTAGGAACAGGGGATTAGGATGGAAGGAGACCCACCTGAGCTCGCTTTCACCTCCAATCCACTCAGGCACCTTGAGTTTGGAGTCAAGATTGTAGTAGGTGCCACCCACCTCCCGGACACAGATCCAATGCTGTCGTTTAAGAGGGAGCTTCAGGGGACCCCAGCAGAGACTCGAGGGCAGATTCATGATGAAACCCATCACATTAGAGAGGGCAATAACATTAACATCCCTGGGTAAGCAGAGAGAGCAGAAATGGCATTCAGTTATTTCTCCTACTTTCTGTATTATAAACTCTAGCAGAGGTAGTTCTCTCCCAAACTATAGCAATTAAGCTTTCTCCATACACTTCACCCTGGTTCTCAGTACCTGCGCTTATCCCACCAAACTGCTTCATAGCCTTTGGTCTGAAGCGCTGCCATGATGACATTCACATCATAGTTCCCGTTTCCCAGCATGCTCTTCTTGTGTGGTGTCACCATGGTGTTGGGAGACAGTCTGCAAACACAAAGTGAAAGAATGTTGTTGCAAGAGTTTCTTATACCCATCTCCCAGGCTCACACATTCATACTCCCTATGAAGAATTGGCAATGGTTGTGCTTGTATCCCATACACTTTTATTAAAAGGTCAGCCCAATGCTGAAAGGTGATGACTCAATAGGAACACACAACCCTCCCACTTATTATTCATCCTCACTGTTCAAAATTCCAATCAGACAACTGGCAAAGTTTGGCATCTTCAACCTGAACTATTCTGCTCTCTCTCTTACCCAGCAGGCAGAGCAATTGGCATATGGTATTGGTTCAGTTCTGACTCAAAAGGAAAAGGGTAATGCCACTTAGATGGGCAACCTCCAAAAATACCAATATATTGACTAGATCTGACCTTACTAAACTCATAATGGATAAACTCACAGCACCTCAAAGTGCTTTGGCTGCAGATAGGTTTTCAAATTTGCCAAGGAATAAGTACTTGTGTATATAAAATGCATCACTGAAGCATCAGGAAATTTATTTAAAAAAAGCAGTACCACCACTAAATGGGCCAACTGTCAATACTATTACAATAATAAGGTCAAGAGCTAAGCTTGCTCGTGGCTAAATCTCTTTTCACTGCCATTTAAACATTCATGCAGAGGCTTGCCAATACATATTATTTATTTGTAGTAGGACATCACCTCAACAGCTCCAATCAGGATTCCATCATGTTGTGCACTGTGCAAATATATACAAAGACAGTATCTCCAAAGAGATCTAAGTAGACAAAGCATAGAAGGGGGAGGGAAAGGCCTACATCATACAAGCAGACCTATTAGACTGATGGTTGGCAAGTCTCCAATTAATTACATTTTGTTATTATTCTATATTTTTAAATACGTTTTGTAGTGAGGGGAAGGAAGGTAGGGAAAAGGGGAGAGGAGGAGCCACTGAGAAGAGCCAATAGTTGGGAAGCTCAAGTAGCTGCAGCGAGTGCATAAGGAAAAAAGGTAGGAGGAAGCAGGCAGCCAAATCAGCAGAGGTCAAAAGAAATTTAGTTTGAGGACATCACTAGTGTCTGAAGGCAGTCTGTACCTGGCTCCAACTGGGAAAGTCACCCACATTAGCTCCATCCCCAGGAGATCCTGCTCTTCCTCCAACATGGCTGGGGGGGGAAGGGTGGGGCAGAGATGCCTGCTTGGTTCTTACACTATGCCCTGAAGGCTGTCAAAACTTTGGTGGACAGTTATAAGGAACAAGTTCTGCAAGCTACGGCTGTCTACTGAAAATACCCTAATCCTAGAGCATCCCACCATAAAGCCTTTGACCACAGAAGAGGAGAAGCAGCTTTTCAAGTAACGAAGTGACCAGCCATTGTGGTATAAGTGGACACCATTTTGCACTCATTTAAGGTAGTTCTAGGAATCTAGGTGGTCTTCAAAGCAGCCAAAATAGTGTACATTGGAGTAATTTAGTTCAAAAGTGATGAGCCAATAAAAGGGAGAGAAAGCTTTAAACAAGGTGTTAATATGAGAGGCTATTAATATCACAGCCTTGGATTATTTTTTGAGCAAAGGTCAAATCACTGCTTCTTTCAACACAGTCAACCTATTATTGCCTCTCTTTAGCACAATAATGGTTATAAGTAATTATGGCCCCAAAACTTCAACTAGCTTTTCCTGGTCACACTAAAGCTTCATATAACAGGTAGTTGGCCAGCACATCCACTTCCAACACTAACTCTACAATAAAACCTCAGAATCATGAACCAACCAGTAAACCACACACCTCATTTGGAACTGGAAGTATACAATCAGGCAGCAGTAGCAGAGAGAGAAAAAATACAGTGCAGTACTGTGTTAAACAAACTACTAAAAATAAAGAGAAAGCAGAATTTTTCTTCTGTACAGGCATGTTTCAAAGTTGCATTAAGTCAATGTTCAGTTGTACGCTTTTGAAAGAACCATATCATTTTGTTTAAAGTTATGAATATTTCAGAGTTACAAACAATCTCCATTCCCGAGGTGTTTCTAACATTTAGATACTATTGTACTTCAAGAATATTGTCTCTGAGTATTTACATTTATAGAAAATGCAGGCAGATGCTAAGCACCGTTATGTCTATTAGCATGACACCAAGGAGCCCCAATCACAAAACAAGACTCTACTGCACTAGGGATTTCAAACTGGGGTTTGTAGCCTCCACGGGGGTCATAAGGCGGTTACATGGGACTCATGAGCTGTACGGTCTATGGGGCAGACAGCCCTAAGCCCCCCATTAAATTGGACCTCTTCCTGTTTTTAATTTATAAGAGAGGGATCACATTCAGAGACTTGCTGTGTGAAATCAATACAAAAAGTTTGAATACCACTGTGTTAGGCATTGTACAAACAGAAAAAGAGACTGAGCTTGCCCCAGAGAGCAAATGTCTGATAAACCTAAGCGTCCAGAAGCACATTTATAAAAGAACTGTATGGCTACATCTACACTGGCACGTTCTCACGCAAAAACTCTTTTGTGGAAGAGTTCTTCTGCAAAAACTCTTCCAGAAGAGCGCGTCTACACTGGCATGTGCTTTTGCACAAGAGCATCCATGCCAGTGTATACACTCTTCTTGCGCAAGAAAGCTCTGATGGCCATTTTAACCAGAGGGCTTTCTTGCGCAAGAAATTCATGTTGCCTGTCTACACTGGCCTCTTCTGGAAGAGCTCTTGAGCAAGAGAGCTTATTTCTGAGCGGGAGCGTCAGAGTTCTGGCACAAGGAGCCCTGATGTCATACATTAGAACGTCAGTTTACTTGCGCAAGAACATGCGGCCAGTGTAGACAGGCAGCAAGTTTTTGAGCAAAAGCCGCCACTTTTGCGCAAGATCGTGCCAGCGTAGACACAGCCTAAGGGTACAACCATTTTTATTCTTCCCAGTCAATTTAGAGAAGTAAAATTCAGAGATGAAAGGGAAAGTAGGCAGTTTATATAAATATGTGAAGGCAACATACGAACTGTTACTTGTGAGTACAATTTTCTCTATGAAAACTGCCTCTATATAGTCCTACTCAGGCATGCACCTAAGGGGCAAAACCCAGAGAAAAATCAGCTGAGTTTAATTACACTAGCTACGTCTACACTGCTGGGTTCTTGCACAAGAAAATGTCCACACTGCCACGTGCGAGAAGTGCTTTTGCACAAGAGTTCCCATGGCAGTGTGGACGCTCTCTTGCGCAGGAAAGCTCTGATGGCCATTTTAGCCATAGGGCTTTCTTGTGCAATAAATCCCTGCCAAGCGTCCACACTGCCATCTTGCGCAAGAGCTCCCGTGCAAGAGGGCTTGCACCTGATAAAAAAAGAGCGTAGCTCTTGCGCAAGAAGCCCTCTTTTACCACGCCGTACTGTAAATTTCCTTGCACAAAAGCGGGCAGGCAGTGTGGACGCTCTGCGGATTCTTGCCCAAGAACAGCTGTACTTGCGCAAGAAGCTGCGAGTGTAGACATAGCCTAGGAATGCAAAACCGTATTCCCAAAACAGAGTATGCAATCTAGATTCCAAGCTGTACAAGTGAAGCTGTGTTTGTGTAGAATTCCAGTTAGCTGTGCTTCAGATTTAGAAAACTGAAACATTATGGAAGTGTGTCACTGATGTGCAATAGCCTTAATGGAGTGAGCCTCAAGATTCTAAGGTACTGTCATACGGGCTGGTCAGGTGCTGGAACATAAACTAGTCCTCTTTGTCAGATGCAGACTGCAGATTTCAAATAAAAGCCCAAGCAAACAAAACACTACATGAGTAGTCTAATTCAGATGGAAAGCTGAACCCAGCCTTTCCTATAGATGGGACGCATTTTGTGTCTGTAGAATACAGAGAAGGGAGGATGAACTAGTAAGGCTATGGCTACACTGCCCCCATTTTGAGCAAAAAATATGCAAATGAGAAGCATGGAATATTGCTGCGCTTCATTTGCATAATTAATTAGGCTCCGTTTCTGCGCAAAACCCCTCTTGCGCAAGAGCTGTTCTTCCACATTTTTTTCAGGAAGAATGGCTCTTGCGCAAGAGGGGGTTTTGTGCAAAAAGGAGCCATGTAGACGGCTCCTTTTTGTGCAAAAGCCTCTTGCGCAAAAATGGAGCCTCATTAATTATGCAAATGAAGCGCAGCAATATTCCACACTTCTCCTCATTTGCATATTTTTTGCACAAAATGGGGGCAGTGGAGACAGTCTTAAAGTTTGCAATTCAGTAACTTACAGATGTGATTACAGTTACAAATGCTTTCCTTAGTGACTGGTAAGGACTCAAGGGGAAAGTTATTTTTGTTAGCACCAGGCTTAGATCCCACATTCAATAAGTTCACTGATTGGTGGGAATATGTTCACCAAACCTCTGTGGAACCTTATAATATGCAGTGAGATGATTGAAAACAGTGGAACTGTCAAATGAAGCACACAGTGTGCTAAAGATGGTATGTAATCCTTCAACCTCTCCTTGCCTTCAATTAAGTTCAGCAAGTAATCAAACTCATACCACCAGCCACATGTTTTGTTAGTCTTTAAAGTTCTACCAGACTATTTGTTTTTTACATTTTTCCAGATACAATCAAGGTAAAGCATGGAGACAGGTTATTTTCCACTGCCCATACTTAAAACCCCCTTCATTTGAGAAAACCTGCTTTGTCAAAAGACCTTTCATAGATTGACTCAGATCTACAGAAGAGCAGAAAGTTGTGCAACTACGAGGCTATGTCTACACTGCAGGCTTCCCACGAGGAATAAGCCCTCTTGCACAAGAAGGCAGTGTGGATGGGCAACAGAGGTTTCTTGCACAAGAAACCCCTATGGCTAAAATGGCCATCCATGCTTTCTTGCACAAGAGTGTGTCCACACTGTCATGGCAGCTTTTGCGCAAAAGCACATGGCAGTGTGGACACACTCCAGCGCAAAAAGCCTGCAGTGTAGCCCCACTGTATCATTATCCAAGCTTCATGACGGAGTGGTTATGAACTGAGATCTAGGACAAGGCCATCTTTGAGTTGAGATCTGACAATGCAGATAGAATGAGACTTCTGAGAGAAATATATGTACCAAACAAATATGTGGCTTCTCACATATTCCAGAGATCTATGTCCAATCAAAGCCAAGGCAATCATTTTTATTAGGATCAGAAAGAATAGCAATAGCAGAAGGCTTTTGCTCCAGTTGAGTAGAAATAAATCTGTGGCTAAGTTTCAGTGGTTAAATTTCTGTTTGTGGGCTGAAACAAAAGCATCAGCATTTTTCATAGCTGACTACTCATAGACACTCCACTTCCTGAACAGTATGTTCATTATGGCCCATTTTGAAGGCTACTTAGGGTAGTACTGTAGTCCATTGTTTCGCAAACTGTGGGTCCCAACCCCCCCGGAGGTTGTGAGCAACTTAGAAGGGGGTTGCAGTATCAAAGTTTGAGAACCCCTGCTGTAATCTACACTTTAAATAGATTAAATACATTTTCTTTTCCAATCAAAGAAATATATATGGGTGAGCCAGATACTATTCTCATGAGACCACTGCTTCTCAGAAGAAGAAATACCACTGCTATCATGCAGTCTGTCAGCACTGGGGCACTACATAAACCTTGATCAATTGCAGAAAGAACTTTTGATCACATTCCCCTGGCATGGAATTTCAGAATATTTTCATAAAACTTGGCTTTTCACATATTCTAGACTGTCAGATTCTGGTAATGAACCTCAAATCCAAATTAGATGAATTGCAATTACTTCTATGGATAGAGATGGAGAATCAGAGGAGATTTCCTTTAGTATATTACTGAAGTTAAGGGGACTTTCAGATTAGTATTGAGAAGTGCTCCCATGAAAAAGCATAAAATATTTTAAACGTGTATAGTAAAATAAGAGACTACTGACTGGATTATTCCTTTTCATACTAAGTTAAACAAAATATCCATATTTAAAAGTTATTCAAAGCTGCTTCAGGATTTGCACCAGTGTGTCAGATCACAAGAACCTCACTGTAGAATTTAGATCCAGCATGCCAGAGTATCCAGGGTGAAAATACATAATTGGTAATAATATTTGAAGAATTTAATTTGTCCCATTTTTTAGACATCTAACTTCCCCGTTCTGAAGCCAACCACACAAACACAAGGCAAAATATGTTTAATGGGAGTAATTTACCTTACCAAAACAAGGGAATGGAGAAATTTGGGAACCAGATAAGAGCTTTGGAGGAGGAGATTATTAAGGTTGGCCCATCACATAAAGTAGGGGTGGAGAATCTTTTTTGGGTTGAGGGCTGTCCCACAGAATACAAAAAAAATCAGTCGGAGGCTGCACACAAGTGAGAAGCAAAAAAAAACCCCTACAAAAACAAAAACCAACAAACCCTCAGTGCTGTGACCCCCAAATGAGGGAAAGACACTCCCCACATTCCTTATGCACACCAGAGCCTAGTAAGAGCACACTAGACTTTGTGTGCTCCAGCCCTGTGGAGAGGCAGCAGGAGACTGGAGCACCAGTGCAGGCTCCCCAATGCCAGGGAGTGCTCCTGAGCCACAGGGGCTGGACCCAGGCAAGCCAGAGGCCGCATCTGGCCCCCAGGCCTTGGGTTCCCCAGCCCTGACAAAGGTCATCTGCACCTCAAAGTGGCAGCCCGAACAGTTTTGAGCACCAGGAAAAAGTGAGAGAAGAGCTTTTACATCATTAATATAGAAGATATGACAGGATAAAGAAGATGCTGCCCAGCTTTCAGAAGTCACAGATTCTGAACTCCCTTTCTCCCTTGCAACTCCCAAAGGGTATTTCAGATACTCATTCCAGCAATAAAATGCAAAAACAGGAACTAACAATGCCAGTGCAGGTGCTCCCTACCTCTGGAAAATCTCTTGAAGTGTTTCCCGGGTGAATGCGTTGCTGTCCTGGAAGACATTATTTAGGGCATGGAGAGCACACAATTCCCTACGCTGTTTCTCATGGTAAATACGGAGTGGTGCCAGCTGTGGTGGCTCAGGCGATTCCGATTTGATTTTGTCACCTTTCCATGGCACACAACTCATTTTTTCATAGGACAGTTGAGGGGAAGGTGATGAGAAACAGAGGAGTCTTAAGTTTTTCTCCCCTCCACAATCAAAACAAGAGCTCACTATTCCCTTCCGTTATTGACAAATCCTGCTTCCGGCTGGCAAACACTCCTCTTGTGCTTTTAGTAATTGACTGATTGCAAAAATCATGTAAGGATCTGGAACATTTCCCCTCTCCCTCCTCCTCCACCCCATAAAAAGTTTCTATTGGTGTTAAGTCCTCCCCTCTGTGTCCTTTCAAAAAATATCAAAATAAGATTTAAATCCCCTTATAGCATCAGGACTCCAGTTGGAATTTATCACATCGCTCCTTTTCTTCCATCTCCTTTGGTCTGCTGCCCCACTAAAAAGGATCCAGAGCAGGCTGGGAAGAAATGCCCTGCACCCCACGAAGCCAAACTAGAGACGATGAGGCCAGTCTCAGAGGCCGTTTGCAGGAGCGCAGGGGCCTCGGGGACGTCTCAGTTGCTTTTCTCCATCCTTTTGGGAGTGGCCATGTCCTGAAAAGCAGATGCCAAGGGCTGGGGAGCGAAGCGGCCCCCACTAAAAAGGATCCAGAGCAGGCTGGGAAGAAATGCCCTGCACCCCACGAAGCCAAACTAGAGACGATGAGGCCAGTCTCAGAGGCCGTTTGCAGGAGCGCAGGGGCCTCGGGGACGTCTCAGTTGCTTTTCTCCATCCTTTTGGGAGTGGCCATGTCCTGAAAAGCAGATGCCAAGGGCTGGGGAGCGAAGCGGCCTCTCGTAAGGCGTGAGGGCGCGAGCTCCTCGCCAAGTCCTGCCGCGCTCCTGAGCAGGGGAGAGAAGCCTCGATGAGCCCATCGGAAACAGCCGCGGCACGCAG